CTCCAGCCTCCGCCAGAGTCCCGCTCCGGGCTCTCCAGCCTCCGCCATGCCTCCGCCAGAGTCCCGCTCCGGGCTCTCCAGCCCCCGCCAGAGTCCCACTCCGGGCTCTCCAGCCCCCGCCATGCCTCCGCCAGAGTCCTGCTCCAGGCTGCCTCACTGGCATGGTCTTGCTGCCACTGCTTCTCCGACCCACTCTCGGCTGCCTTACCGGCTTGCTCTCGCCGCTGCTGCCTCACCGGCCCGCTCTTGCCGGCCCATTCTTGATCTGCTGTTGCTGCAGGATGCAACCTGCACGTTCCGCTCCTGCCACGTGCTTCCCGTTTGCGACCCAGCTCCTTCCTGACTCCTTAGGTAGGTAGTTAAAAGGGGTGGGGGGGGCGCAATAGAATTACTACAGAGGGAGAGAGAAGAAAGGAGAAAAAAAGGAAGGACAAAGAAAGAAAGAGAACTGGCGCGCAGAGTGGCACTGCGAATGGAGCGACTTACCCTGCCGCTATCTTTGCGGCTGTTTTAATTACAAACTAGGCCAATATGTTTCTCAATGTATGTTATCTACTTACATTTTAATGAAGAGCATAACCAGACATTATTTACTTCTATTTTCCATAATGTCCTCTACCCATAGTGGTATCTACAATCCTTTGCTCAGTAGGGAGCGTGATGAAACGTCTTGTACTTAACTTTTTAAACCAACAGATTTTCTTATCCTGTTATCCAGATATTTGTACTTATTGTTTAAAGTGTAATGTTTATTTTAGAATCAGCAATGAAGAAGAATCAAAAAGATGATGATAAAATTTGTTATCTGTCCATTTGTACCTACAGCATGTATGTTGTCTGTTTTGCATTTATGATTGCTTTTGTTTGACAGCAAAAACAGCTGTGATTGCATGTGTGAAAAGTTCAAATTTCATCCGTCAGAATTATTTTGAAAATTTATAAATAAAAGAATACTTCTAAAAATCTTTTTAACCAGAGTAACATTTGGATTAGCCCCTTGACTGAATGTAGCAGTATCCCCTGATTGATCGTACTCCCCCATGGCTCCACTAAGGACTGGATACCTTTGAATTTCAAACTTGACTGGTTGAAGCATTGTGTTTGCCACTGAAGCTACTGACGCATGTTGTAGATGTGACATTCACAAAAAGCAGTATTGTACAACGACATGTCCACTCCCTTGACTGTTTAGTGCTCTGACTGTGACTACCTGCCTGCCTTTCCCTCAGCACTAAAAAGCAATACAAACCACACAGGTAGGCAGCCTCCAATGAATGTAAAGTGAGCGAGTGCAAAGAAATGAAGCTAAGTGCTATACGATGCATCCTGTGTATGAGATAATGATCTCCCCTGCACAGAAAGCAACCTGGCATAAACCTGCAAGTTGTAAGTGTTCCTAGCCATCAAAAAAAGCAGAATTTTGTTCAGCTACAAACTGACTTTATGGCTCAGCATATCTGTGCTTCACCATTACTGCCAAGCGGGAGGATTAACCCTGGGCTCAGCGACAAGACAAGGAGCGTCACTAGGCACACCTGAAAATGGAGTGTGAATCTGATTAAGCTGCAACATAAGACTAACTTGTGTACTGTGGTGTTGCAAGCGTTTACAATTGTCTTAATCCCAGTCATAATCTAATTTTGCTTTCAAAAGACTGTTCTCATCCACAAGATTTTAGTTTACGTAGTGTAAGGCCAAGTTAGAACAAATTATTGCTATGTAATTAATTATTCCTGTCCTTCGTAAATTCAGATTGTGTTGTCCAATGTTTCTCATCATGAGCAATGTTGTTTATCTGCTGTATAGATGTGATGTCTCTCAATTTTAACACCATTTGGCTTGTCAGACTCTGCATGTATCTGTTTTTTTTAGATCAGTTTATTTCATCTGTGTTAACTCAAGAGTCTACTTCTCCACAAACAACATAATATCTTACTGAATGTATTACAATTAAACTTTCTGCTCTTAATTCCTTGTTTTATTTTCTTTGTGTTTTTTCAAATTCTTTTGGTTTAATTTTTCCCTTTCTGCCTGTTAAGTATATTCTTGCAATCTACTTTATATTTTCATTTCTGCTCCTTACTGCACAGTTTTGTTTTTAATATACCTTTACTTGATGTTATCATAGAATCATAGCCTGAATCTAAATCCTGAACATCATAACAGCTGATGTTTATGAAACAGCATATACTCTAATCCTTGTTGTAAAACAGTAATTCCATTTCCTTGCAATATTCACTGGTGCCATAGATAAGATAAGGGTGTCAGGGCGAGTAATATGAGAGTTCATGGATAGTGGTTTGGTCCAGAGAAAACACGTCTTAAGCAAATATTTGAAGTTTGAGCTGGAGTCTAAACTATAGACTCTGCGACACATTAGGGAGGGGAGAAAATACTCTGGTTTCTTTGTACCAGGAGGTGGTTGCTCACCGTAGGCTTGGATTATCCGATTTAGTCATTGTTTAGGGACAGAGAGTGAATGCGTGATTGAGGAGGTGAGGGGATAGAGAGGGCAGGAGTGCAGGAGCCTTAGCCAAAACAATTTTTCTAGAGGTTTGAGTTTGTATCATCTTTCTGGATCAGAGTGAGAGTTGAAGGATGGAGGCGTTAATTGACCCTGGCGTAGGAAACCACTGAAGGATTTAGTGGGGTTGAGAGGTGGGACAGCGTGTACAAAAGAGTGTGATAGTTGTAGGGGACAGTGTAATGAGGGGAATTGTCACTGTTCTCTGCAGCAAAGAGCCCAAGTCCAAATGGCTGTTGCCTACCTTGGTTCAGAACATCTGCTCAGGGCTGGAGAATGACTTGGAGTAGGAGTGGAAGAGTCTAGTCATCATGGTCCATTTCGATACCAATGACTAAGGCAAGGGAAGGAATGAGGTTCTGAATAGTCACAATGAGGAGCTAGGTGCCAAATTAAGAATCAGATTCTCAAAGGTTATCATCTCTGCATTATTATCCAACCCACACATAAATTCACATAAGACAAATCTGATTACAGAGATAAATATGTGGCTGAAATCCTGTTGTGGGACAAATGGAGAGGCCAGCTTTCCACTGCAAAAGACAAAGCTAAAATATTTGCAGTTATCAGCCAGGAATGTCAGCTGGATGATCCATCTTAGCCACCTCTTGAATTCCCCAATGTCGGATGCTAGTCTTTCGTCATTTTGATTCACTTCAAAAGATATACCAGGAAATAGCTGAAGGGACTGGATGCTGCAAAGTCTATAGGCCCTGGCAACATTCCAGTAATAATACTGATGATTTATGCAGCAGAATTACCTATAGCCTTAGCCAAGCTATTCCAAAATGTTGGATCCTAATGCTTCATTCAGAATACACTGGTTATTGCAAAATATTCTGCAAAGTTCACCTAGGTTCAGCAATTTTATGGTTTGAAGTTATGCTTGAACTAAATAATTTTTCAGTTATGTTTTGATTATTCTGTTCCTAACTATCAGTCTCCTTTGGTGAACTTCTGTGTCTGTTCAGATGAATTTGAAAGGTCCCATGGCACAGTTGGACGATCAGGAGAGTTCTGTTGATCTGTTCTCGCTGGTGAATGTTAAAAAAAATCTCATAACTGTTCCAAAGTATGAGTTACATTCAGTGCCACCTAGGAACAAAGGTAGGATTTGTTGTGAAGTTCTCATATAGTTCAGTGATCAGTGAAGAACGGTTCAGGGTTATTAGTGGTTGGAGGATGAGACTATATGAGGGGGGGAGCCAGAAACTGGAAAGCCCTCCAGAAAAGTGATGCTCTTAAGCTTTATTATTGCAAAGACCACTGGTATTGTTAGTTAGGATTCAGAGAAGTCCTAGGAGCCAGTTGGTGCAGATAGTCATTGGAGTTTGGGCTCAGAAATGCTGTGAAAGTGGTTGGGGACATGGTGCTGCTTGGAAAATATCCATGTACATCCAGTAGTTCAGTAAAGCTGAGAATGTGGAGTGCATTTTCTAGAATTCAGGGGAGTATGGTCTCAAGAAATGAAGGTGAAATATCAAAATATAAGCAGTAGCTGAGGTGGTCCACAATGCAGTTGTTTTAGTGGGCATTTCAGGACCATGTCATCAAAAATAAAGAATTTGAACTCCTTGTCTATTTTTAATAACATGTGATGGCCTGTTGTGTCATTAATGCCTGGACAGATTACTAAGAAATCTGTCATGAAAGCATTTACTATTTGAGGTATTCTGCGGATTGTTTGGCCATAACCTTGTCTGGACTCATATTTAATTCAGATTAATTCTGGGTGCTAGATTAAATTGTTTACAGTAGTGGTAAAAATGGACTATCCCTTTTTGACTTCCATCATTCGACTTTTATACCATGGACCTTTTATACACTAAAATGATTTTAAAAAAGGAAAAGAACTGACTTAATATGGCTACAATCATTGGGCTGAGCTTAGCTCGTGAAATCATCAATAAACAGTACCCAGTCTGAACCGAAATTAATATGTTGTCATATGACTGAAACCAGTCACATGGATGACTACGTATCAGGATGGAAGAGTGACCTATGAATTATCCACATTGGAAAAAGGGGCAGTAAAACCAGACATGGAGATACACAATTGAGCTGTGTTTCAGGCAAGTGCTTTTTAGCAAAAAGCAGAGAAAAATGATGAATAAAGCAAATTGGGAAAAAAAATTCATTTGCTGAGA